CAACCTATCCAGCGCAGTGGAGGACACGAAGACCGAGAGCACCTGGGTGTGCTTGAGGAAAACACATGTGTGGAACTCAGGGTGCTCTGGGCATTAGCGCTCCAACACACTGCAAGGGTCACCTGGTCTATGTGAAAGGACTCTTTGATCACGGAATCCCTTTTCCACAGAGCACCTGCAAACTAGCAGGACCTCAGCACAATGTGTGACCTCCCCAGGGAGCCCGAGCAGCTCCCCCTGCCTCCTTCCTGGCTGCTCCACCCCTGCCAAGGGCATGGTCCAGAGCCAAGGGAGCAAGCGTGTGCCTCTGAAGACGAGCTGGCACACCCGGGACTCACAGTGCAGGTCAGGGGCCAGTGTGGTGGGACAGACGGTGCCACAGCCCTGACTCAGGAAACAAAACCATGGCTTTCTGAGTCCACAAAACATAGAAGGCTCTAAACGCCTCTTCCTGCCCACGCGGTACTTAGACAAGCAGAGTCATGACGAGAAGCAAGAGGCACCAGTGGTGGCAGGTTTAACTGAGCAAGTTCCTCCATGCGAGCCCCCATGCCAGGACACCAGGGGAGCCGAAAGAAAGAGACCCAGGCCCTCCCTTCCAGATCGCTCTGGGGGTCAGGCGTGCAGTGATTCCCCAGCACGCAGGGCCGGGGTGAGGAGCCCAAGACAGGACGAGTAAGTTCACTGGGGAAGCCCAGAAGCCCTTAAGGCAGAGAATATTTGGCAGACCCCTCCAGGAAAGTAAGTTCTGGACAGCCAGAGAGTCAAGGGCATAGCAAGTGGAGGGGAAATCCTGGCAGAACCCGCATTCACTTCCCGTCCTCCAGCGTCAGGAAGAGACACGAAATACAGGACGCAGTGCTGGGATGCACCCTGAACCAGCGAGGGAAGGGACCGCAAGATGTGAGTGAGGCGCCTATGGGCTCAGGGTCGTCCTGGAGGGTGGGGCAGACTGCACGGAGTGGACATGGCTCCATCACTGGAAGCCAACCAGGGGACGGGGACAGGGGCCCTGGGATCGAAGCCCTGATGAGCAAGGACCAGGTTTCGGGGAGGACGGTGAGTTCAGAGGGGCTCACTGAGCCAGAGGGGGCGACAGGACCCCCAAGCAGCTGAGACAAGGCAGCCGCGGGACCTCTAGGTCGGATCTGGAGTGGATGTGGGGTGTGGGGTCAGCACGACAGACTGACACAAGGAGGAGCGCCGAGAAGGGCCTGCCGGCCGGGCCTCATCCCTCCGTGGAAGCCCCTCCCCTTGGGTCCCTGCCTGCTTACGGGACAGTATTTAGATGCTTGCTCCTCAGAACACTGAGGTGCCAGGTCATGTGTGTGCATTCACAGGTTTGTTGAGGCCATCACAATTCCCATTGAAATGTGCTTTGGTCCCATGTCTAGAAGGGTTAGCCAACAATGAGAGCCACCCAGCAGCAAGCGGGCACTTCGAGTCCCCGTCACAGCAGGCTCTTCGGGAGGCTGGAGAGGCACACTGCACATTCCACAGAATTCCCTGCAAAGACTGCTCAGGAGGCCAGACTGTGAGGCCCGCGGCCCCCGCCCAGAGGCCGTCGTCCTCTGTATCCAGACTCTAGCCAGCACTGGGACAGCTGAGAGGGGACAGAGCACACGGGGTCTGCTGAAGGCCACGTGGAGAGGGAGTACTAAACTCCAGCTCATGAAGAAGTCTGGGAGCCACCGCACCCAGTGGGTCAGGTCCAACCGGCCCTGGCCGGCAGCTACGGAGCGGCCCCGCTCAGCCTCGACATCTCCGAAGCTCTGTGTAAATCGCTTCCTTTGCCTTTTCTCTGGGGCGCCCTGGGAGTGCTCATCGAGGCCGTTCGTCCTGCACTGTGGGCACTGACCTGCCTCAACCCAACCTTTCCACCAATGCACGTGCTGCAGGGGCTGAGGATTCGGTGATGAGCTAGACCTGGCTGGACGGAGCCTCCTGGACTAATGGCTCATTTGCTTTCCACAAAATCTTTTAAATCTCCCACCCATTGCCCCTTATAGCCTAATCGATCGACCAATATAGCTTACATCCAAAATCACACCTGTTTGCCAGGGGCCCCCCACGGTGGAGCCCCAAGGCCTGGGGGCGGGTGCTGAGGCTCGCTCTATGTCCGATGACCCCCTGATGAAGCAGGCCTGCACTGTGCATCGCCAGTCCTCACAGGGGTGGATGGGTCAGAAACTGTTCGTGAAGCAAGCAGAAACCACTCCTGAGCGCTCACCTCAGATCCAGGGAATAGTGGGAGCCAGCCGAAGACAGAGGGGAAGCCTGAGGCAGAGCTCGTCAGGGACGAGGGCGCAGGGCCATGCTGCGGGCCAACAGCACCAGCGTGGGAGGGAGAAGGCTCAGGCCTGAGCTCGTGTGAGGGGCCAGACTTCCTCCAGGGAAGTGGGGAGCAGTTTCAAGTGGGAAGACGAGGATTTGGTGCAGTGACTGAGCTCTGGAGACCGTGCTGGGAGGCGAGCTAGTGAAAGCCTGCCTCCACTCTGCTTTTCCCTCTGCCTTATTGTATCCCTGGTCATCATACACGGCAACCAGGACGGCACCTGGGCAGCTATCCGCAGCTGTCTGTGGCTTGTACTGGATAGCTTTAAAATGTTGCAAAACCTAAAATGACAACACGTGGTGAGAGGAACAGGCCTTCAGTTTCAGTGGGGCCATGCCACAGCAGAAGCAGTAGTTCTGACTAATGGCTCCTAAGGATAAGCCCACAGGTAATTTAGAGCGCACCTCAGTCATTCACCATGAGCTGCTCTGGGGTCCGGGGGGAAAACTTCACAAGAGGCTCGACATTGGATCTCGACTCCAAGAACGTCCATGAGCCTGCTCCAAAGACAGCCCGAGCGCCCCTCTGGGCGTGCATACCTGAACCCGACCACCAGGCTTTGCTGACCCAGACGCTGGCCACAGCGAGGCGTCTCTGCCAGGCCACGGGCACAATGGCGTTGCTGGGTAGGAAGGGTGTCGGAGCCAGTCTTCATGTGGGATCCCAGACGCACTAGGCGGCTGCACCTCGGGCAGACGACTTCACCCCTGGAGCTCTGCCCCTTGTGTGAGACAGTAACTGCCACGCAGGGTGTCCACAGGGACTGAGGGGAGCGTGGAGCACCCTGGCAAGCACCTGGCACCTGATCCGCAAATCGGAAGTTCAGCTGCTGTCCTTCGCCCCTCCTTAGGAAGAGCCTCCTCACAGAAGAGGCAGTAAGAAAGGAGGGGCTAGTGCTCCCTGGAGACGCCTGACTTCCAGGGGTACAAGCAGGACGGGAGCACACTGCTGGTGGCCTGGGTGCACTGCAGGCTGTGGGGGCAGAGCTGTCCTCGTGGGAGGGGTTGCTCCAGTGTGGGTCGACAGGTGCACATCTGACCCCAGTGACCAAGCCCTGGGTTCTGGCTGCGCAGTGACGCCAGCATGCCTATCAGTGTGAGACAGCCGGGGACACCTGCCTCATCGCGAAGTTTACCCCAGCCCCAGAGAGGGGTCAGAAGGCCAGGTGGAGGGCCCCTGGGGAGAGAGGGATTCAAGGAGGGAAAAGGAGAGGGTCAAAACGTGAGAGGAGAGCCCTTTCCTGAAGGTGGTGAGGAGAAACACCAGCCAACAAAGGTGGGGGAGTCCCTGGGAAAGTAAAGCCAGCTCCAGATGGCTGACTCAGGGACACGGACATGCCCCTTCTCTGGAATGAAGGAACCTGTGGAGAAGTGAAGTCCAGAGGATCAAAACTTCCCAAAGATGAGTGAGGCCTGGCCAGGCACTGACGCACCAGGAGGCAGTAGCCACTCGAGTTCACTCTCAGAACTATGAGCACAACCATCTGCACCCCAAGGTAATGCAGGTACCGTGCACCTCCTGCGTGGACGTGCAGCTAAGAGGATGTGGATTTCATGGAGGAAACTCAGGCAAAGTGAACCTTGCAAGGAACAACTACTGGATACTACCGTGCAATACTAAAATAAGCCACACAAAGCTCTTTCAGCCATATTAGTGCTGAGCTTCATGAAGAACACACGTCGTAAAAGAGCAAGCACCTGCATACCGAACGCGCACCTTCTCGGGGACCGCCACTAGGAACCAGCCAGCCTAGTCAGGAGCAGCCGACAGCTGCAGCCCGCTGAACATGGCCGGGAAGTCATTCTCCGGCCACCACACTCTGCGTCACATGGACTGCCCCGGTCGGTGCTCCCTGAATATGGGCGTGGCAGGACTCTCCAGGAGAGGGAGGGCAGCTGAGTCCCATTCTCTCCGGTGCACTGCCTGCAGCGTGCAGGACCAGGGCCAGGGCCAGGCACACACGCTCGGCAAGAGGCAGGCCAGGCCACAATGACACCTCGTGTCCCCATTCCTCCAGGGCCTGACAGCCGCCAGTCATGGGACAGACTTTCTATTCACCCCCTTTACATGGGTGCATTGAACTCTGCCCCCACCAGCTGCACACAGGGAGGGACACACACACACATACACACACACATACAATTCATACATATGTACCCACAATACTCACAATGATACCCTCAAACACATACACACTCACATATGTACACTCCCATGCACATTAACTCATACACTGAAACATACATGTTCACACACACATACAACTCACACATTCACAAGCTACACTCACACTTACACATATACACTTATACTGTTGCACACATGTACACACCCACACATACCCCACTTACACTCATAACCCCACATGACCTCAACGTCCCCCAGGAAATGCCCCATCCTCCCTTCGCCTGCCCTCTAACTGCTCCAGCGCCTGCCCTGCCTGGCTGCCCTCCTCACCAGCACAGCACAGCTAATACCCGACCGGTGAACTCAGGTGAGCACCTTGCAGGTCAAGTCCAGCTCTCTGACCTCATGTCTCAGCAGGGCGGAGCCCCAGGGTTCACCTCAGCCCCCACGTCAGAACTGGGCCCGCTAGGCTGGCTTTGGGCTTCCCGAAGGGGCAGGTGGCACAGTCCAGGCCACCCCACCCACGCTGGGCTCTCACCTCGTTCACGAACACCCAGTGGCTGTCCTTGGAAGCCAGGTTGGTCTCTACAGCCTGCGGAGAGAAAAAGAAGGAGTGTGAACAGAGCTGAGCCAGGGCCGGCAGACAGGACTGCCAAGACGGCATTTCATAAACATTGTTCTTGGAAAATGTTTTCCTCACAAAACACGCCATCCCCTGGGGCCTGCCCTGGCTGCTTAGCCATGGAGGCACCGGCTAAGACGTCTGAGCTCCCGCTGCTTGTGCACACTCTGCTGTGCCAGCCCCAGCACGGGCAAAGAGCTGGCTCCACCAGGCTCCCCGGGCCGGCGAGGGCAGGCCCTCTTCCCGGGACACGCCTGCAGACACCTTCCTGCACAGGCAACGTGGCCATGAGGATGGGCAACGTGGCCATGAGGGTCATCATCATTGAGGCTACAGGGCCAGGCGCTGGATGAGGGACTCGAGGTGGCTCACCCCGCTGTGCTGAGCACCGCTTGGGAGGACAGCGGCTCATGCTGGGGCTCGGAGCTGCCGCGGGTTCCCACAGGGCTGGCATGTTCTCACTCCTGGACGGCGGCTCCACAGAGCCACTGTCCCGTATGAACCCCTACTCTGTTCCTTCAGAGCCTTTGCCTTATTCGTACTCGAACGATGATCAGTTTACTTCCTTATCCTTCACGAGGTCTCTGGGGTCAGCTTTGTCACGGGACCCGGCGCTGCAATCCGCACACAGCAGAGGGGTGTCGGCGGCCGAGCAGAGCAGGCCGTGGCGCACTAGGCTCCTCACACGTGTTACGAGGGCTTCCTCCTTCGCTGGAAAGCCAACCCGTGAGGAGGCTGGAGGGGACCAGGGCCGTCTAGCACGTCCCGCAAGAACACACGCAGCGAGCTATGCCAGACCCTTGCTGAGCACAGGGCACGGTGCCAGGGCTCCGTGGGCCTGCAAGAGAATGCTCTGGTTGTAGCCTTGTTTTTTTCCTATGTATTTTTAAATATCATTTTTATTACTCTTTTTTACTAATATGTGTGTATATATATATATATACACACACACACACACACACACACACACACACACATATACAGAAAAGTAAAAACGTTCAGGTCCTCCCATAACCTCTCCCCATGTTAAAAACGTGCTGCAAGGGATCAGCAGGTGGCATGGTGATTAAGGCGCTGGACACTCCCACATGGCCAACCATGGTTTGAGTCCTGGACCTGGTGGCTTGCTTTCTCACTTTCTCTCTTTCTCTCTCTCTGTCTCTCTGTGCGTCTCTCTCTGGTCAAATGAAGATTTAAAAATGAATGAATAAATAAAAATCAATAAATAAGTCTTAAAAAAAAACGTGTTGCAGTACGGGCTCCCCACGAACCCCAAATTCACCCCCACGGGTGTTTGAGCTGCCGCTGTCAGAAGCGCCTACAGCCACATCTGTGAGTTCACAGTGACAGGTGCTTATCAGAAGGAAATCTTGTAAAAATCAGATCAGAGATGCCCACGAGGCTGGAGCTCTCGTTCTGAGTCACCACTGCTCGGGGCTACCTTCCCTCGTCAGTGCACGCAACCTGACGCGTCCCCAGCAAACGAGGCCTGGAGGTGCCAGGGCCCGCACCAGCACCCAGCCAGCCCGTGGCCCTGCAGGGACCCGTCCACCCGCTGCCGAGTCCAAGTGCTGTCGTCACTCAGGGTCCATCGGAACCTCACTGCCCTCACAGGTTTGCTGACCAACAGGACAACGTGTGGCAGTGTCCAGATGAGCTCCGGCGCGACGTGACCCAGGACCCGGCGGAGGGCCCTCCCAGGCCATGGCAGGGCTGAGAGACGCGAGGATGAAGGGGTGCAGTGTGGACGTGAGGGGTTCTGCCTGCATCCGCCATCTCGTAACCGTTCTGGCCTCTACCTGTCGTCAGTAAATGCACAGAGCGCATGCCCCTCCTGTCTGCCAAGGAACGTGAAATATTGTTGGGTCCTCGGTCTCAGAAAGGCCCCCGACATACCCCTCATGTCCCCAGGACACAGCGAGAGGAGTTGGCCGTCTCCCCCTTTGATGGTTCGAGCCCTGTGCCCCCTAGCACATGGGTCCTGGGAGCCCCTCCTGTTCCCCTCACAAGGGAAACTCCCTCATAATCCCCCTCTCCCGCATCAGTGACCGACTAAAAATGACTCTCCAGAAACTCGGGAAGAAGGCTCCCGGGCCCCTGGCCCACGCCTAGGCAGCCCAGAGGGCAGTGCTCTGAAGATGCCTCTGCCCCATGCCACAGACTCCAAACCAGGCCTGCTCCAAGGGGCTGCAGGGACCCCAGCCAGCAGCTCCCAGAGGCCCTTGGTGTGGGGAGAGGAGAAAGCATGCAGGGAGTCTTGGCCGCATAGCCCAGATCTTGCTCTGCTCTGTTCCTGGGGATCTTTGAGCCCACAGCCCAGGTGAGACGACAGGGCAGGGGACGTGGGACGAGGCAGCCTGCGCGTGCAGCCCCCACAGGTGGGCTCCGCTGCCCCGACTCCTGGCAGCTCAGCGTTTCCTTCGTGCTCACCCGAGGCTGCTGGCAACACACTGATCAACGCTGCACTTGCTGAGGGCTGGAAGGACGCCATCACCTCTGTTGGCTGGGACACCAAACCAAATCTAAAGGCAGGCGGTGTGGCAAGGCTGGACTCAAAGGCCTACACTCGGCCTCCGAAGCAGAAAAGCACATGGAAAGCGAAATGGGAAGGCAATGCCCTTAAGGGGAGAGCTGGGGGCCTGTTCTGCCACTCCGCTGCACACGGAGCCCAGACTGTACACACACTCACACGCAAGAGGGACGGCCCTCCAAAGAGAGGCTGGGGCTGCAGCCCTGAGTTGGAACCACTGCCCCGGTAGTCAGGCTGCAGCAGCTCAGCACAGGACGGAACTCTGACTTCCCACATGCTTCAGGGGGGAACGGGCTGTCTCGGAGGTGAGGGCAGCCCACTGCGAAAAGCACACACGTAGTTGGAGTTTGCAGCCCCGTCAAGTACTAAGTACCAGCACGGAAGTGGGCCAAAGGGCCGGGGAGGCCCGCCATGCACTGACATGCCACAGCGTCCGGCTGCAGGTGAGGACTTCTGAGAAAACTGACGGTGAACCTCAGGGGCTGGCCCCTTGGCCTGGTGGTTAAGGAAGGTGGATCCTACATGGCTGACCACACAGTTCGAATCTTAGAACTGACGGCTTAAAGAACATGGGGAGGGTGAGAGGATGGGAATCAAGGGGAAAAGAAAAAAGCAAAACACTTAAGGGGCACAGAAATGGGAAGTTACCTGCTGATGACTGTGTGTGGTAATACCCTGCTGATCATGCGATGTATATATTAGACTAACAGACAATGAACTCAGTTTACAAGCTGTAATGACATACAGTGGTTGACTGTATTAAAAAATAAATTAAATAAATAAAACTACATGGGGCATGCTTTGTGTGTGTGTGCACATGTGTGTGTGCGTGCACACGTCCAAAATCTCAAAAGGAAGTTAGAAATGGAGGAGAAGCGACTAGTAGCCATCCCCCATGGGAGGATGCTTCATCTCTCTCCCTCCTGGTGAGGGCATACCCTCTGGCAAGTTAAGAAGTTGTAGGTATATAGATATAACTATATATATCTCCCTACTAGGGACCCCGAGTCACTGAGAGCGGAGCTGTGCCCAAGATGCCATGCTGTTTAGCACTCCAACTCTGCCTCACGGCTGTCCTGTGATTCTGAGGGTGTGGGAAGAGTAGGTGCAACAGAGAGGTCCTCTCTGGTCCCCGAAGGAGCCAGCCCTGCAGATGACCTGACTCAATTACCGGGAAGCCCCAGGGCGCAGGTGGGAGCCTCGGCTACCCTAGGAGTCTTCGCACCTGGTACCAGACTCGCTCATGGAAGATATTGACCGAGAGAATTGATCAGAAACCCCCACAGGACAGCTGGCCAACTTTCCTGTCCTACTTTCCCTCACCAATTAAGCATCAGCTAATTTGTTAAGCCTCTTTTCCCAGCACGGAGATGAATAGCACCTGGCTGTAGCCTTTTCCAGAGGGGGCAGCCCACACAGCTGAGGTGGATGGCGTGAGCCGGAGCACCACGCCTCCTCCCGGGAGTACTGGGGCACTGCCAACTGCCAGCTTCTGGGAGGAGCGCCCCCCGCCCCCTGCCTCCTCCCGGAAATACTGGAGCACTACCAACTGCCAGCTTCTGGGAGGAGTGCCCCCCCGCCCAGGGAGCAGTGTCTCTCCGGTAGCACCAAATTCCCTTTTTTTTTTTTTAAGAAAAATTCTTGTTATGGGACAGATGTACTCATCAGAGACACAGAGAAACAGAAAGTGAGAAACACCCTCCCGGGGGCCATGGCCATGTTGCAATCCATTCTCCTCTTGGGATTTCGAGCATTTGTACCAGGCATGAGTTTTAAGTAGCCGGGGCTGGGACTTGAACTGCAGTTGACTACATGAGAGTCCAACAATGTAACCACTGCGCCATCTGCTGGTCTTGTAAGTTCCTTTCTGATGCTGCCTTTCCTTTTCCTTCCCGACCTTGGCTGTGGCAGGTGGAGTGAGTCCTGCTTCCACCTGTGGACGGACAGAGCACTATGCAAGGAGTCCTGCAGGCAGGTGGAGTCCCGCTCAGCCACACCAAGGCCGAGTGCCGGGAGAGCTCTTCCACCTCTCGGAGCTGCAGTTCCCACACTCATAAGGTACACGGTGCGGCCAAAGCTCGGCCCACACCCCCTCAAGCCCTGGGAAGACTCGGGGCACACTGGCCCCATGTGTTCACCCCCAACAGCCAACAGCTGAGACTCAGGCTGCATGGCACTCACAGAGCCTGGGGTTTACACTGCACCAAGGGCCCAAGGTGCTGCGGATACAGAAGCCAGCTGCCTGTTCCCCAGGGGGACTTCTCCCAGTGCAGCCTCGATGTTTCCAGAATCCCTTTCTGTGCAGGTCACTGCTTCCTGTGACTTCCCTCCTGTCCCTGTTCCAAGTCCCCACTCCCTGCTGTGTCTTTCTGTTTTTCATTCCTCTGAGGTGGCTTCATAATAACTTATTGTCACACAAATTCTAGTCTCAAAGTCTGCTTCTGGAAACCCAATGTGAGACAAACCCCTCCCACCTGGCATTACTGAGCCCTCAGAGACATCACACGCAAAGCTTCGGCCCAGGCGGGAGCTTGAGGCAGGATCCAGGAACGTCAAGTCCTCCCCATTCCTTCCACTCGGGTCCCGCCTGGTCTTCACTTGATAGGCTCTTTTCAATGTGCATGGCCCCTCCCCCCAACAGGTGGCAACATCTGTCCTAATCTCCTGGATGGGAAAGAACCGAGTCGAGTTGGGGCCAAAGAATACACTACGCATTCCGTGTCACAGCATGACCACAGACAAAAAGAGCAACAATAAACCCAGCATTACAAAGGGGTGCGTGTCACCTCCCTGTGAGCCACAGCCCTCCCCTCGTGCTGGCTGGTGGCACCTCAGAGACCACTGACCAGGCCAGACAAGTAGTGGGGTCTGCAGGGTCCCCAGGCGGGGGTCCCAGGCCCTGCAGGCAGACTTCTCTCTTGACCTGGCCCCACAGCTGCAGGACCACCCTCAGACGAAGTAGCAGCAGGCAGTGGAGACCACCTGTGGGCGAAGGCCTAGGGCCCGGTGAGCCCAGGATCACCACAATGGCCTGCAGCTTGGAGCAGCACAGCCAGCCCTGTCACGCTGTGGCGTGAGTCCACACGGCCTTGCCAGGCCATCGCAGTCTCTGCTGGCCCAAGGCGTCATACATGCCGAAGGAGAGCCAAGGAGGATCCAGCTGACTTCTCTCTGCCCACCTTCGAGCAGAAGAGGTGGCAGGTGCTATGGTGTGGCTGGCCCATGGCCTGGGCAGGGAGAGTGGGGTCGGCGCCATGGAGAGACCGTGCTTGCAGAGGCAGAGCTGGACGTCCACACGCATGGTGCATACATGTCCATGCATGCATTGGCAAGCAGCACCCTCTGCAGAGAAGTGTCACAGACAGACCCAGCTAAAGGAAGCTGAGGGTGCTGCTCCTCCACACCCAGGAAGCTGAGTGTGGCAGGGTCATGTCTCCTGGACATGAATAGTAGCCCGGGCCTAAACCTCCAGGGCCTTCGCCTATGGCCGACAACATCCCCAGAACGGGGATGTAAGTGACACAGAACATCAGCATGCCATCCTGTGGCCCCTCTGTGGGACCAGCGACTTCTGGATCCTGCTCTAGCCTCCCTGACCCCATGGCTTCTGTAGGAAAACAGAGGCCAGCCACGTGCTTGACCCCGACTCCCAAACTGGCTCCGGGCAGAGCAGCCCTGAGCACTGGCAGGAATGGCAGGGGGCCGGCCACCGGGCCCGCCCGCCCCGGGGGGT